TTCAAAACCTAATTTCTCTTAAAGGAATTGACCAAAATGAATTAACCTTGGACCAAAATAAAGCTAAATAAATGTGGAATAGAGGAAAAATATAGAGAATCCTTGATATAATTTATTGAGCTCCTGGGAGTTGAGTGAATTCAGCATTTTTTATGAAAAAATGACAAATTAGAGTATAAAAACTTGTAAATCATGATAAAACTTAATAAAACAACTTTTTTGTAATCATTTAGGATCACTGAATACAAAAATAAAGTTGATGTTTCGAAATTCAAAATGGCGAATTCAAAATGTCGGATGAAATTTTCAAAATTTAAAAAAACTTCTAATTTATCCAAATTGTGGTATTTTATTAGTTTTCGAGGTCGCTGAATCCAAATATGATGGTAAAATTTAAGAATTCAAAATGGCGGACCCAATATGGTGGACAAAATTTTTTAAAATGCTTTGATTTCAATAAGACTTGGTACTTTTACTTTTTAGAGGCCGCTAAATCCAAATATGATGGTAAAATTCAAAAATTCAAAATGGCGGACCCAATATGGCAGACAAAATTTTTTTTATATTTTAATTCGACACATTTTAAAAGTAACAACTTTATTTTCTTGCACGTCAAGCGCAGTCAAATTCTTAGGTTAACTTTTAAAAAAAGAATAGCGGAAAAATAATTGAAAGCAGAAAAAATGTCAAAAAACTGTAATTCAATTTACAACTAAGTACATACTTCCAAGGAATTAAAATATATTAAAACAATCAGAGTAAAGTATAGATTTACATAAAAAACTACCAATTGCACTATTTTCAATAGCCACTAAAAATTTAAACCTAGGGGTGGGGGGTGTCAAGCTGTGTGTGACGAAGTGTGCACCGAAAAAAATGCCTAGGACCCGTATTCCAGGAATTGACTAGGTTTCCTAGTTACAAGAGGAGCCAACTATAGAATCCTGGTCAAAGTAATAAGATTCAAGCATAGTTAAAGTGACCAGGAAAATTAGTCGATGTAATCAGGAAAAAATAGTCAAATTGACTAGGAGAATAATATTAGATTTACACTGTGTATCATAATTATTTGAAATTGCTAATCAAATTCTTATTATCAAATAAAAGAGAAAAACTAATTAAAAGAAAAAAGAAACAAATTAATTATTGTATTTGAACATATTTATATTTGACTTTGTATTTATATTCCTTGGAATTAATTTAAACTTATGAAATAAATATTTGACGCAGGGGGGACGCGAACACCTGAACCTAACGAATACGCACTTTGAAACCCGGAACGATAACCACTACACTAAACACGACTTGGTATTTTAATTTTTTAATAGACACTAGATTTTCGAGTCAAAATACAATACTTAATCAGATGATGTTTTATACATTTCGAGTACACAATTTTATACACTTGTCAAAAACTATTTATTTTTAATTATTTATGACATTCAAATGAAAATAAATTTAAATACACAAATTATTGCAAAGGTAAATATTCAAACACACTGCGCGATTAAAATAGTAAAAATGTTGTCACCACGTGCGTAAAAATTTCGACGATTTATATTGAAACCTAACCAAAAAAGTCTGAAAGAATTGACTAATATAATTAAATAGTTTACTTTCTAAAACATGGACTATCTATATTTCCAGAGGTTCCGAGAAACCAGCAATTTTGATGTATGTAAGAACTCCATTTTATGTAGGTACAAAGAATAGACGCGAGTAATGATAAAAAATCGTTTTACGAAATCACGATAAATGACGCGAAAGATATAGAGGTAAACACTGTCAGAACAGAAGCAGACGCGTGCGCATTATGGAAATAGGCAAAATTACTAAAATCCTAGTCAATTTGACTAGGATTTGCAGGGTTGTTTTTGCCAGGCTTGAATTTGTTGAATCAACCTAGCGATCCTCACCATAATGATTAGGAATCCTTATTACTTTTACTAGATTAAGATTAACTATAGGGTCATAGTTAATAATACCATCGAGATTTTTTTCGGTGTAGAGAATATGAAAAATTTTTAATTCTTTTCTATTCCTACCTTATATTATTGGGTTGATTAAAATTTGTATGTCTTCAAGTTAAGAAGAGAAGAATAAAATGCAAATAAGAAGGCATAAAATATATCTTAATCAATTCTACAAAATCTTCTTCAAATAAATTTTACTTCAATTAACTTTTTACAATCATTAATCTTTTTACATTTCTCCTTAATTTGGTACTCAACTCTTTTTCCCTCATCTCTTTGTTTTAAGAAAAATTCATTGACTTTTATTCTTTGTATAGAAACTTGATTGTTAATTATAATAAGTTCTCTAGTTGATTTGTACATTGTGTAATGATCACAAATATTTTCAATCTTATCATTTATCGTATTTTTTATTTTTGCTTATAAAAAACACTTTTTTTAAACGCAAAATTGATGAAATGGACATATAGTTCTTGTGCGTAAGATAGGACCTACTTCTGTTTTTTATTATAATTTAGTATTGAAATTTCGGATATACCAGTTTTTCTGTTTACGCCCACATCCACCTTACCTCTCGCGGAAGCAACGATCGTTATTTTGCAAAGCAAGACAATGATTGTGAGCTGAGGTGTATACAGCCGGTGGTACATAAGCAAAATCCTTTTGTCGTTTTCGTACGATTGTACGACTTCCGTGGGAATTCGCAGAACGGAAGTGCAATTTTGCCAATAAGACGTTAGTACCTTTTCGGTGTAAGGAGGCTGTATAAAGCAATGCTTCAAAAACGCCAGGTGCGCACCTCTTTTGCGCGCTTTGCATGTCACTTCTTTTAATTTCGAAACTATATAAGAGTGGAGTGCCAGGATTTATTTATTTTACTCCACTGCTGAAAAATAACAATTGCCAAAACATTCTTTTATAAAAAAAATGTTTATTTCCTGAATATTAAAAAAGAATGCTATTTTAGCAAATTCTATTCAATCCATATAAATAATAGTCAATATTTTTGGAGTGCTTAAATAATTCTTATTACTCATTAGTTCTAATTTTCACTTGATAGAAAAAAAAATGTTCACTTTTAATTTTAATTTAAAAATTTGCAATTTCACCCAATAAAATATTTTCATTTTCACCAAAAAAATTTTTACTTTTACTTTCTATGCAAAAATACCCTCTTAGAATTTTACCCAAAGATTTTTCACTTCTAAAAGAGTCTTAATTTCAATTTTGCCAACGAATTTCTATTTTCAATTTCACCCAAAAATTTTCACTTTAAAGTTTACTGCAAAAATTTTCACCTCCACTCAAAAAATTCTCACTTTCAATATGAAAACATTTTCAATTTCACCCAATAAAATATTTTCATTTCACCAGAAAAAAAAATTTCACTTTTACATTTAATTAAAAAATTTTCAATTTCACCCAAAATCTTTCCCTTTCTATGAAAAAATTCCCACTTAGAATTTTACACAAAGAATTTTCACTTCTAAAGAATTCTTAATTTCAATTTTACCAACGAATTTTTATTTTCAATTTCACCTAAAAATTTTCACTTTCAAATCCACGAAAAAATATTCACTTTCACTCAGAAAATTTTCACTTTAAACCAAAAAATTTTTACCTCCACTCAAAAAATTCTCATTTTCAATCAAAACATTTTTAATTTCACCCAATAAAATATTTTCATTTCACCAAAAAAATTTCACTCTTACTTCCAAGTAAAAAATTTTCAATTTCACCCAAAATACTTTCACTTTCTAATGTTTCTATGCAAAAATCCCCACTTAGAATTTCACCAAAAGAATTTTCACTTCTAAAAGAATCTTAATTTCATTAAAAAAAATGTTTACTTTGAATTTAACGCAAAATATTTTCACATTAACTCAAAATTATTTAACTTTTACTTTTTATGAAAGCAATTCCACTTACAATTTCATACAATAATTTTTTGACTGAAGGTGAAATGTTTTTTTTTTTTTTTGAGTGGAAGTGAAAAATTTTTTAGTGAAAGTGAAAATTTATTGCTTGAAAGTGAAAATATTTTAGGTGTAATTTAAACTGAAAGTTTTTTGGGTGAAAGTGAACATTTTTTTGGCAAAATTGAAAGTAAAAATTTTTTTTTTTTGTTAAATTGAGAGTAAAAGTTTTTTTGGGTGAAATTAAAAGTAAAAAATTTTTGAGTGAAAGTGAATGTTTTTATATTCAATGTCACCCAAATGATTTTTACTTTCACTCAAAATATTCTCACTTTCACTTTAACTAAAAAATGGACACCTTCAATTTCATCCAAAAAATTTTCACTTTCAGACAAAAATTGTTCACATTCAGTAAAAAAAATTTGGGCGAGATTAAAAATGTTTTAAGTGTAAGTGAAAGTGAAAATTGTTTGAGTAAAAGTGAACATTTTTCGGTGAAATTGAAATTTGTGAAGGGAGTGAAAGTGAGAAATTTTTGAGTGAAAGAAAAAATTTTAGTGTGAAATTGAAACTTTTAAAGGTAGTGAAAGTGATAATTTTTTGAGTGAAAGTGAAAATTGCATTAATGAAATTGACAGTGAAAGTTACGTGAACGCACCCCTGGAAAATTAAAATAACAGCAGATGTAAAAAAATTCTATTACAAATAATTTTTCAAAACAACTTTAACCTCTTAAATGACAATATGAAAAAACTTGTTACTAATAGTAATAATTTTGAATTAAAATTTAATTCGATTTTGAATTATTAAATTTATAATCCACTGTGAATATATCAGAAATAATTCTAAAACATTGAAAGTTATGGTAATAGATTATTATAAAGATATTAATCAGATTATATTCAGTATGATCTTATTTTCAATAATCGTATGTAATGAATTCTTTTTTCTTTAACAGACATACTTAGTTTAAAAAAAATATTCCCAATTAATTGTTAATGCAAAATAGGGAAATAGGATCTAGGAAATATAAAAAAATAAGCAACATGAAAAATTTAGTAATCATCATATATTATAAAAATCTTGTAATAAATATATAAATTACGCATAGCTTTACACATATATTGCACTAACAATTAGAGAATTGATTATGAACAGAAAATTTATTAATTATTGTTATAATATCCAATTATAAATATCACGTGAGAAATTCATTCAAATTTCATTAAAATCAGATAGATCTTTGTTTTTTATAATAATATTAATAGAATAATTTATAAGGTGTTTTGTATTTCGCAATATATTAGAAATAATAATAATATCATCATTTTGACTAGAAAATCTTGCGATAAATTGCAACCTTAGATTTTGTTTCTCTCTCTATCAGTCCTAAACTTACTTATAAATCTCACAAATGAATAAGATATAAATTTAAAAAGGTGTAAAAAAGCTGGTAACTAATTTTAATATGTATAGATTATAGTTGATTAATTATTCCGTTTAATCCTCTTGTTTATTTTGCAAAGTATCTTCATTTTCTTCTTGTTTTGAAGTCTCTTTTTTATTTACTTTTATCCACTGATAGTTACCGGGAAGGGGCTTTTCTTTTTCAAAATCAAAATTCCACTTTTCTTTGGCCTGAAAAATTAAGAATTTTTAAATACAAATTTTATTCATCTTAATTAAAGTTATACTCAGATTAACCTTCGCGTTACTAAACTTTTTTATGTACACTAACTACCAGAGGCTACCTGCAAACAGTTTTTTATTTGTATATTGCAAGTAAGATTTAAAAGAAAAGTTTTTATATATAATGCTTTCATTTTATCAAAAGTAATGTAAATTTTGTCCAGTGAATTAAAAAAATGCTATTAAATTAGTAAAAATTCGAGCAGACTTTTAATATTGCCCTCGGTAGCGCTGAGGTTAAGATTCTATGGTATTGTAAATAACCTGTTCTAAATGACGTCTTCTTTCTTCAGATACTAAATTGATATTATTGTCTTTATCATCATGCTTATCTTCGTCTTCGAAGAGTCTTCGTCGAACTTTTCTGATTCTATTTGCTTCTGGAGCTTCATAATTTTGATCTTGCATGGCAAGTCGTGCTCTGAAACAAATTCACAATAATTATAAATAAATAAAACAGTTTTAAATGGTAGTTTTAAATGTACGCTTAAACTTTTAAATATAATAGCAATAATTCGCGCGCGGCTGATTTCTCAACTCACTTTTTTAAATAAAATTAACAATTTTAAAAATATAATAGAACGTAAAAATGTTTAATTCCAATGCTTTTTTATAAAAATAAAATACGAATTGGAATATATAGTTTTTATATTATTATAATTATAATAATCATATATTCTGACATAGGGTATTCAGGAAAAAGTCAAGAATTTTTATTAAAAGTACTGAAAAAATTAAATTTTTAGATTTCATAAGAAAATTCTAAATTATTGTGTCTTTTTTGTTTGACTCATAAACTATAAAGTTACCACGAATTCTAATACAAAACCTTCAATTTTTTAAATTACAAAAATTATTTAATGAATAATTTTACATAAATATTTCAAAATTAATTCAATATTTTAAAAGAGTTGCCTTTACAATTTTCATAAGTAAATGAACTTCAAACGGTTTTCATTTGAAATTTTATAAAATTTCAATGTTGAATGAATTTAATTAAAAATTTTAATGAACTTAGATTTTTTAAAAAATTTAATAATTCAAAATCTTCTAAAATTAGTTAAATTTGTCAATACATATTTAATTAATTATTTAATATAATTAATTTATAGAAGAATTTTAGTTAAAACATTACAAAATTTGAATTTTAAAGAAGTTACAAATGATTGCAGAAATTCAATTATTTTCAAAAGTAATAAAATTCTTATCACAAAATTCAATTATGTTCAAAATTTAAAGAAATATCTTGACAAAATACCAATTATTATCTTTATAAATTAAAAAATTCTTCTTCAAGATTTCAATTATTTTCAAAAATTTTCCTCATTTCAATGATTTTTAATATCTACTATTTCAATAAAAATAACTACCAAAAAAAATTCGATTATTTAAAAACAATTTTACAATTTCATAAATAATAAAAATTTTACTGAAATTTAAATTTAAATTTTTGTATTTAAATAATTGAATTCTCGTAGAATTTTCTAGTAAAACTTTATTTTAAAATAAATATATTTAAAATTTAAAATAATAATTGAATATTAAAAGTATTAAAGCGTTGTAAAATTTCAATTTATTATTTTTAATACAATTTTAATCAAATTCCTTGAAAAATGTAACTATTCTAAAAATTTTATTAAAATTCGTCAAAAGAATTCAGTTATTTAAAAATTTGTTAATAAAAATTTTATAAAAATTAAATTTTAAGAAACATTCAATTATTCAATAAATAATTTACTTTTGTATTTAAATAATTGGATTCTCGTAGAATTTTCTAATAAAAATTGATTTGGAAATGAATTTTAGTTTAAATTTTAGATAATAACACAGCCACACAAAAAAAAAGTTCTGATCTGGGGGTCTCACTATGTAGACTTTATGTTTTTTGGGTCGCTGAATCCGAATCCGAGGTCCATTTAACCCCATCAGATCAGGATTTTGACATAACCTCAAAAAACCAATATGGCGGACACATTTTTGAAAAGTTCATCGGATTCGCTTGAAATTCGTTACTCGGGGGTTTTTGGGGTCGCTGATTACGAATTTGAAGTCTGATTTCAAAAATTCAAAATAGCGGATCCACACGGAAAAAAAGAAATTAGCTGCAGCAGTAAACAGATGTTTGCTGTAAAATCTCTGAAAATTAGCTACCACAGCGAAGAAGTTTGCAGTGGCAGCGAACATGTTAGCTGTGACAGCAAACATTAGTAAAAATTTAGTCGAGTTTGCTGTCATAGCGAACTTGTTTGATCTCACAGCGAACTTGTTCGCTGTCCCTATTTCAACGAACAAGGTTTGCTGTGGCAGCAAAATGTTCGCTGCCACAGCAAACCCTTTCTATGCGTGCACTATGGCGGACACGTTTTTGAAAAATTCATCGGATTCGCTTGAAATTCGTTACTCTGGGGTTTTTGAGGTCGCTGATTACGAATTTGAAGTCAGATTTCAAAAATTCAAAATGGCGGATCCATTATGTCTGTGTCAGCCATATTGGATCCGCCATTTTGAATTTTGAAAATCCGACATCAGATTCGTAATCAGCGACCCCAAAAACCCCAGAGTAACGAATTTCAAGCGAATCCGATGAATTTTTCAAAAACCTGTCCGCCATATTGGATCCGCCATTTTGAATTTTTGAAATCAGACTTCAAATTCGTAATCAGCGACCCCAAAAACCCCCCAGTAACGAATTTCAAGCGAATCCGATGAACTTTTCAAAAATGTGTCCGCCATATTGGTTTTTTGAGGTTATGTCAAAATCCTGATCTGATGGGGTTAAATGGACCTCGGATTCGGATTCAGCGACCCAAAAAACATAAAGTCTACATAGTGAGACCCCCAGATCAGAACTTTTTTTTTTGTGTGGCTGTGTAATAGAATATAAAACTAATTTTGAAAAAGTTACAGTAACAATATTATTATAATAGGTATAAAATAATGATTTTAACACTCGATCCTCTTTAATTATTATAAAACATGAAGAAATCGATTACTCCGAGTCTCGTTGTCTTTATGTTTTATAAGAATATTTTTAAAGTTGACTAATTTCAAAAAGGTTTGAATTTGAATGTTTTGAAGAATTTATTTCCTACGAAAAAATAATAAATAAATATTTAAAATATTAAAAAAAGAAATTATTGCTTTCGCATAATTTTACAATTAAAGATATTCGTAAATAAAAACAGAACATTTTTTTCAATAAAATTTTTTCTTTCTTTTCTAAAAAATTTAAAAATTTCCATTTTCATTTTCAATTAAATTTTCGAATTGACAAATATAATTTATAAACATTTTTTCCTTTATTTTGAAAAAACTTTGAATTTTATTAAAACAATTAAAGTTATGAAATAGAATCGATGCAAATTATTTCCTTATGAAAATTGAGAATTTTCTACAAAAATATCAAGAAACGGGAATATCTAATGTTTTTCTTCACAAAAGAAAAAAATGAGTTTGTAAACAATATTGTTATTGAGAAATAAAAATTATGCATAAATTGGGTATATTTTCTACTTCTTAATATTTTTTAAAGGAAAAAAAATTATAGTTAAGTTTTATTTTTTAGAGATGTTGGATTATTATTTCTTCTCTTTTAATCTACAGTACACTTTAAAAGTTTACTGTAAACTTTTACTTTTTTTTTACTTTCACACTGTAAAAGATAGATTCAAAATTTTAAGCTAAAACTTTATAAACTTTTAGCTTAAAATTTTGAAAATATAAAAGTTACAATTTTCTTTCTAATAATCAATTATTTAATAATTATTTTATTTGCAAATCTTTTATTAGAAGCATCAATAAAATAGTGAAGTTTTATGTAAATTATTTCTATTATACCTCAAAATAGTTTGTTAGCATTCAGTCATTTTGTAATTAAATACTTATTGATTAAAGGAATGAATGGGTCACATTGACCCAGAGTGTACTCTATGGTAGAAAATTTACATTATGCCAATATCGATGATAAGAGTTGATTAAATATTTATATTAGCAAATCGTATTGCCACCGTATTTTCATATAAATCTTGTTTGAATTATTTACTAATTTACTTATCAGTTAATAAGACCAAAAAAATTTTTTAGACATACTTTTGGTTTAACTAATATATATATTTAAAATTTATTAAACCTAAATAAAAGAATGTATAGTTTGACGATAAGTCGAGGTTTGTCGGTGATTGTGCCGTTAGTCTGATTGCATGTGGAATGCGTACACTGCACAACTTCCGGAGTACCTTGGCATTAACATAGGAAAGCGTTTATTTTGTAATTTTTTCCTTTGTGCATTTATAGTCACCGTGCTTTGTGATATTATTAAACTATTGTTGCATATATTACAATAAACACAAATATATGATATAATTTTAGAATAATATATTACTTAAATGACGAAACTAAAATGCTGACAAGAAGATAATAGTTATTAATAATTAAAAGTCAAGTATCAGCAAATTTATGTTTTTTTTACTCCCCAATGGGTGCGACTTTTATAGAATCCCCTGGGGAGTTAAAATTTAACTCCCTTTTTTTACAGTGTAGTGTAGGAGGTAGAATGAATGTGTAAAATTATGTTTTCCACTTGAAATTTCTCAGGCTGCGCATTATAAACAATGTTAAAAGTGCTAAAAAACCATTTTTCGATGACCGTTCCTTTCTATAACACTTTACAAAAAAAGTAGTTATTGTAAGTTGTAGAGCTCGAAAATACCTTTAAAATCAAGGATCTTAAATTAAAATTGGTTCATTTGTTCCCTTGTAAATGAATTTAAACTACTAAAAATGTCACTTATAAAGTGTTACTAGGTTACAATCCGAAATCATCGCGATATTTTATGGTACGGTTGAGGATCTAGAAATTAGCTGAGATAGAAATATCTTTATCCTTATTCGTATAGCAAGTCACTTTTAAAACACAGTGTGAGACCCAATCAGACACCAACTATTAAGTTAAGAAAATAGTTATTGGATTCATAAGTCAATAAAAATAAAAAACCATTTTTACTTTTCATTTTAATTTATTTAATAAATGTTTAAACAAATTATCGAAAAGTTTAATATTTTTAAAAACTTACAATATCACTGCAAAAACAAGTGTCTCATTTTAAGACGTTTTGTCCTCATATTTGAAACACATAGATGTCTTGTGTCCACATATTTGAAACATATATATATATATATATGTCTCATTTTAAGGCGTTATAAAATGTCTCACACATTTAGCACTTCATTTTGAGACACGATATGTGTTTCAAGTATCCGTCTCACAGTAAGAAAACGTTTTATGTATCTTATATATATAAGCATTGAGTCACCTTTAATGTTTTAGAATGAGACACGAGATGAAATTAAATGTCTCAATATAAGACAGATTTTGTATCTCAACTCATTTTAAGACACGAGTGAGATACCAGTTTTTGCAGTGATCGAACGATTCTAAAATAAAAAATAGTCCAAAGTTAATGAAGTCAAAAAAAATATTTAAAAAAACCGCTGCCAAGTTGCATATTTTTATTATAATTTTGGTGCTCATTTCATAAACACTTTGCTTCCTCATAGAGATAATAATAATATAAATATATGAATAACTTTTTTATAAATATGGTAAAAGTGATTAAATAGTGAGTCAATCAATGTATTTTTAAATGCCCTACAAGATAGTTATAATTATTTAGAGAAAAGTTTTCAAACAAAAAAGTTGAGAAAATGTCATTTTCCACAATTTTTGGTTTTTAAAATACCAATAATTTCGAAATTTATGATCGAATTAGGTTCAAAAATAGGTCAATCGAAGCGATATTCAATGCTCTATAAGTTGGTAATGATACTTTTAAAGTTATTTCTACCTTTTTCAACAAAATTTTCAAAAAAGTCTTATTTTCCAAAATTTTAGATTTTTAAAAGTTTAACATCTCCGGTTAATATTGACGAAAAATGTTCAATGAGGGCTCAAAAGATGCGTCTAAAAAAATTCTACAAAATTATGGAAAAAAACCTATATGTGTCCCAACATTTTTTTAAAGTTATGGGCAAAAACCGTTTTTCTGCAAAATTAAAAATTAAAAAAAAATATAGTTAAACTTTATTAATCTATCTCAAAGTACTCTCACTTTATGTCCGCACATGAGACCTACAATTTAAAAAAAATTCATCCCTAAAGCTCTTCATAATCTCGAGATATTTTTTAAAATGTAATGTTTATACACACACACATACGGAATGACATTTTTTAAAAATGTGTTTTTTAAACTCCTGAGGTTAAATAACATAAAGATGTGTCAAAAAATCGAATTTAATATTTATTTTGAATTTTTTTTTCTTGGATATTTTGGTCTGGATATTTTGTATTGGACTTTTTTGTCCTATATTCCTAATTAGTGATTGTTGTCGAATCTACTATGTTCTGCTTTTCTGGTATATAGTCTGACACTTTTGTTTCTTCGATCCAATAGATCTCTTTTTGTTTTTTGAAACATTTAAATAACAGCCTTATTTTAAGGGATTCAGGCTGTCTGAAATTAGGTTGCAACGTTTATTAACCAGACAATGCTAAACTTATGCAATAAATTTTGGAAGAGTTTACACTGAATCTGACGATGTTGAATTTAAGACTGATCTTAAATTAAGAAATTTTTGTTGCTTGAAATTCATTTTCAAGCAAAGAAATGAACAATTTTATAATAACACCCGTAATTTGAAAGGTATTTTTAAGTTCTATAAATTTTAATAACAACTGTTTTTTATAGATATAGGTATTGTAGAATGGAACGGTTATCCCTCACTACATGAATCCTGTCAAAAGTCAGGTTTTAATTTTGGCAAAACTTTTTAATATCGTTTTCGTATTTTTCTTCAATGAAAAATAAAAATTTGTTTATTTTATTTTAATATTTATTATTATAAATTTTAATTTCGTAGTGACCAATAATACAAAATAAATGTTAGTTTTTCTAAATAACCTTTCATTGAAAATATAATATACGACCAATTTGTCTTTAATAATTACTAATTTTTCACCTACAATTACTTAACTTACATTTGCTAATTACGTAATATCAACAAACCGAAATACATAGTTGCCACTATAAAATAAGGTATTCTTAGAACAAAAACATTTTGAATGAGACTATAACAAAAGTATAAATGCAACTGCTTATATCTGATAACATGAGCAATCAAATTTCTCCTTGAAAACATAATTTCTAAAAATATATTTTTTTCACTTCAACTGCAAACAATAAGACTAAAAGAAAACAAAACTATTACCAGTTCATAACTGATTTAAAAACCAATAAATATATTAAAAATGAAAAATATATTTAAAGTACTTACGAAATAGGTAAATCTCTCATTATTCGTCGTAATTGAATATTTCTATTGTATTTTTTTATTTATTTTACGAAAATTTTTTATTAAAAATTTTGCTTTTCACACAATTTGGAGGTTATGAAACTTTGACATTTGTTTTTAAGCTTTTAACTACAAGTACAACTCTTTTAATATTTGGTTTTTCAAGTTTTATAATTTTTGGTTTAATATAAAAATTATTTGAGTTTTTTTTTGCTGTATTAGTTAAGGTTTTTAAAGTTTTTGAGATATTTTTGACACTACAGAAAGAAACTTGGCGTCACTGGTGGTGAATCGCAAACGAACCAAATGTTTGAAATCGATAATTTCAGTCATTCGAGGGGGTGGCTTATACATAAGGGTAGAAATGTTGCGCGCGCAAACCTAAGCAACGTGCACCGCACCGGTATAGAATCCCTTTAATATTTTAAATCTCCAACCTCGTGTGTATTTAAATATCTGTGACTTCGGGTTATGTTATTTTGATTGTATGGTGTAGCATGGCGTAGTAATATACGCATATGCGAAAATTCATGTGTCTAATTTTACGTTTGAAATTAAATAATAAAATCATTAAATTTAATTTAACTAATGTTATTAATTTACTTAAAAATAACATTACAATAAATATTATAGCTAATTTTTTTACTTTTTAGATGTAATATTTTTTTATTTCGAAATATGTGTACGTCCGCATGAAAAGGGACCACTCTGACACTATTAGATTTATCTACATATGGCTCAACTTCAACAGTAGAAGTTTTTAATTTTATGATTGTCAAGCAGGCAAACCTTACTAACCGTCCTTTAACCCTAACATACATTACATTCATCCTCGCCAATCTTATTTGAACCTAAAAAATTGGTTCTGAAATTCTAAGTGCAATATAAATTTAATTCCCAGGAGTTTAAAGCATCTTTAATCATTCGCATTGTCCCAAAAATTTCATTTTTCGTTCTCGGAAAAAATCATAAAAATAGAACCAAAAAATACTAGTTATCTAAAACTAAATCTTAACAGGATGTTTAGCTTGCTGGAACTGAAGTGGTATATGAACAAATATACAAAATTATAGTATTGGGATTTCTAAATTTTTCACCCAAAAATTTGTTACAGTCAAAATACAATTATCACATTGCCATAAACCCATTTTCTTGGCAGTTTTTCGTCAACTACGACTGATACAAAGCCGATTATATCAACCTCATAAATGAAATGGTTTTCAACAAAAGAAAATACAAAAAGAAACAAGAGCAAAATATAAAAAAGTCAAATTAAGTGAGGAACGATTTCTAAAAACAAATACATAGCTAGAAGCACGAAAATTAATATTGATCACGTTAATTTTAGAAAAATGCGTAATATGGTAAAAACTAAAATTAGAGATTCCTACAATAAATATAATTACAATAAAATAAAAAAAAGTAAGAATTAAGATATATAGCAAATTTTAAGAAAACTTAACCTTATATATAGCAACCAAAATGGGTGTATCAAATACTAATCTCCAAAAGATCTGACGGAAAGTATAACAACAATCAGGATTAATGCAACTGGCCCTGACAACATTTCGATTAAAATGATTAAAATACCCCTTCCGGTTATTTTTCCTGTCTTATTACATATAAATATAATTTCTCCCTACAAACAGGAAAGTTTCCTGAAATGTGGAAAAAGAGTTCTGTTCGCCCTATACGAAAAACAAATAATCGCTAGTCCTAGCGATTTTAGACCTATTTCGATCGTCTGCGCATTGTCTACAAACAAATGACCTCTTTTCTATCTGTTAATAACTTGCCTGAGCCTTTACAATCTGGTTTTCGCTCCAATCACAGTACCTGTACTGCAGTTATAAAATTCACAACTGACATTAAGCTTGCAATAGATTAAAAAATTATTACAATAGTTGTATTTTTTGATTTTGCAAAAGCCTTTCCATCTGTGGATCATAATTTTGAGTTTGAATCTTATCTAGATGTCAGATTTCAAAGAGTTCTTAATAAGAATGGTGAATTTTCGGACTGGGATTTATTGCGATGTGGTGTTCCTCAAAGGGCATCGCTTTCTTCATTACTGTTTAGTCTGTTTGTATTAGATCTTGGTGGACAACTCAAATTCTGTCAATACCATAAATGAGCCGCTCGCTCGAAAAACGGCTTAAGTGTTTTTGAGGGATTTTGGAAAAACTTAAAATTAACATTCATTTATAAATTATGAGTCATTTAAAGCATTATTATTTAACTTAATAGGTTTTGGTTTAAACAATTTTAATCAAATATTATAATTTAGTTGTTGATTAATACGATGGTAAGCGTCTTTTGAAAAACGGCTTAAATTGACTTTTAAGTCGTTATTCGAGCGAACGAACGGCTCAAATATGCTGACGATTTTAAATAAATTATATTTGTCTGGTTCGTTGTCCTTCACTGATAATTTACTTAAGATGGTTCAAACGGACATTGATTATATTGTTGAGTAGACAGGAGGAGGAGGAAGAGGGATTCCTATTTCTTAATATAAAGAGGAAGTTATAGGGATCTTGGATTAACCTTAGATCGGACTCTATCTTGGAGAGAGCATATTTTTTTATATTTCTCGTAAATCATGTATAGTTTTACAGCAACGAAATAGAAAGAAGACGTCCTTGTCAAGTGTCAACCTCAACTCGACTTTTATTAATTAAGTCACTTGTACTTCCGTATTTTGATTATTGCTGCACAGTGTATGACGACATACCTTACGACTTAAATAATAAGTATTGGAACGGGCCTTAAATGCTTGCATTCGTTTTGTTTATGATTTACCTAAGTTTGAGCATATAACACAGTATGGAGTTAAATCGGGTCTTCTGAACGTCGCGACTAGAAGATAATTTTTTATTGGTAACATTTTTTACAATATTTTTAATAGTAAGATCCCTCTTTAATTATTTGATTTTTCAAGTTTAGAAATCCTAATAAAGAGATACAAAGCAGGTTGCGAGAAAGAAAATGTATTTTAAAGATACCTCAACATAAGACATGTAAAATGCAAAGATCTTTCATTATTAGAGAAGCTAAACTATGGAATAAAATTCCTACTACAATCAGACAGATATCTAAACAATCTACTTTTAAGAAACTGTTTTATAACTTTCTATTTAAAAGCAATACAGATTTATTTGAAATCACGTATTGGTAATATTTCCTAATTTTTGTTTTCTCATTTTTTCTTTCTTTATTTTCATTTTTTTGGCATATAAACTTCCCTAATTTAGTCTTTTTATTGTTAAAACTTTATTATATGTAGTATTAGCATCGTATTAAACAATTTTTTTTCTTTGAATACATACTATTATTGTTATTATCATTTTTATTGTATTGAAATTTATATATCACAATGTACTTCTTTACCTAATTTTCAGAGACCGATGCTAAATTTACACAGCTTGTGCTAGCTTGTGTTGCCTTGAAAATGACTATAAAATACGTCATTTAATTCCCTTAAGGTCACTGAATAATACTATGCATATCATATACCATTAAAAATAATTTAATATTAGGGTTTTTCTACACGTTTTGTCGATTCTACCCCACTGTGAGTTTTTCTTTCAAATATGAATATTTTGTTTTTCTCTAACTTTCTGAATGCTTCAAAGACCCCCTCTATCACGTCAAACTCCCAGCTTGTTTCAATCTCCTATGCACTGTTTTGTCTTCCATATGATACGTAAATACTTAGTAAATAATAACCATATACATTGAATAAATAGTTCCAGTAAGACTCAAAACGGTATGATGACTAACTTGTTTTATAGGTTCGATAGTCCTCTGATGTATTTCGCGTGACTGCAGCAACTTTGTGCGGCGAGTTGCAACTAACATATCGCGAGCAAAGCTGAAGTACAACTGACCTAACTCAAGCACGTCTAGTCGCAGATATCCTTCGATTTCACTTTCCTTACTCTCAGTCTTTAGTGATGCATATTTCTGCAAGATAAGTATGTGCTTCGTACATAACACTCCCCACTTTCTTTAAAATCTTAGTTGACAATATTTTCGCATGTCAGTTGCACCACAGAGTAGGTAGCCTAGATTTTGTTGAGAGACTACTGCTGGTTGTTGGCTTATTTACAAGAGTAACGGCCGACCGGTTCTTTTATTATGCGGCCATTCATCCCGCCACGATTGCCATATTAGTGTTAAGTGTGTTATGCACTCTTCTCTCTGTCTCTCTTCTTTTCAACATCAAACAGTCCGTTAGCGTACATGTTATATTATTTCTAACTACGAAATTCTTAAAGTTCAATTTGTAACGCAGAGAAAAAAATTAGAGTAATAAGTATTATATTTTTGATGAAAAATTACTTTTTGATGCAAATTGATAGATTTTGCTATTTTTCACTTGCAAAAGGAAAAAGTTGTTTATATCAATTACTTTTTATGTTATTATAACGATCAATGGTCAGAAGTTTATACATACAGCCGAGCATACAACCATTTATGCCCGCTACATCTAACTTTTATTTTAAACTAACATTTTACAGCCTTCTTCTATTAATATTTGTAGGATATACAATTTATTATAGAATCATTATAAGTGCAAAGTTGCACTTCTTTCATCAGTAAACCAAAGTCATTTTCTTCACAGATCTGCGCGCGATCGTGAGAGTATATGAATACAATGACTGAATGGGAAGCAAGATAAAATAAATTTCTCACATGTACCTTCAAGAGCCTGTTTTTCAGGAAACCCGCTATGATTACAGGAAGTGCGTGAAAGATAAGAAATGGGTAACATTTTTGGTTTATTTTCTTATTTCATTTTCATTTATGCAAGTTTTAATCCCATATCCCACAAAAAAATATTTTGATTTAAAAAAACTAATTCATTACTTTTTTTTTGTCTGAAAAGAAATATTTATTTGGTTTTCAAAAATTTGTTATGTGAATAAGAGAACTCTCTATAAATTAGTTAAAAAGATTTTTGTTAGTAAAATTTTTTTAACTTTTTAATGTAATGAGTAAAAAATAATTAATTGGGGTGAGGCGAAGTAACTTATTGTTAGTATACGACTGCTGATTTTTAACATGTTTGCCTTAAATTCAGCACATTATTTGCTGATAATCAGCATGCTTTGCCCTTTAACCCCTTCGCAGTCAAGACCAAAATCTCATAGTGGGCTCAAAATGTCGACAACTTTTTAGAAAACTAAAATTTGCGCAAGCGAGCATACTATATTGTATTTGAAGTCGCTGATTACGAATCCGATATCAGTGTTAGAAATCTGTTTTATTTTGTACGAAAATATAATTTGTAAAATATAA